AATAGCCAAAGTACATGTATTGTTATATGGAACAGCCAAAGAACATGTATCAATATATGGAAAAGTCAAAGTACATGTAGACTATCATTATATGGAAAGTCAATTAGTTGATGTATTATAAAATGGAAAAGTATCACAGAAGCTTGATTTTGTAAGCCACTATATTTTATATTTTCAGATGTGTGAACTATGATATTTACACTAAATGGGAAAAGATGAAGAATGGGAAATAAGCTGTGTGCCCCATTGCTAAAAAGAGGATATAGAACTGATACAAGTTACCCCTGGAATGTACGAAAGGATTCTCATTTGTTACGGTAAATAGATATCTTTTACTATTATAGATGTTGGTGATGATGATTTTATTGATATTTAAATAGTTCTTATATTACAATTTCATACCTTTATTACTGATATAGAATGATACATTTATTACTGATATACATTGATACATTTATTACTGATATAGAATGATACAGGTATTTCTGATATTGATTGATACAGGTATTACTGATATTGATTGATACAGGTATAACTGATATAGATTGACACAAGTATTACTATAGATTGATACAAGTATTATCGATATAAATGTAGATTGATACTGGTATTACTGATCAATATAGATTGATACAGGTACATGTATACAGGTATTACTAATATAGATTGATTCAGATATTACTGATGTAGATTGATACAGGTATTACTGATCAATATAGATTGATACAGGTACATGTATACAGGTATTACTGATATAGATTGATACAGGTATTACTGATCAATATAGATTGATACAGGTACATGTATACAGGTATTACTGATATAGATTGATTCAGATATTACTGATATAGATTGATTCAGGTATTACTGATGTAGATTGATACAGGTATTACTGATCAATATAGATTGATACAGGTACATGTATACAGGTATTACTGATATAGATTGATACAGGTATTACTGACATACATCAATACAGGTATTACTGATATAGATTGATTCAGGTATTACTGATCAATATAGATTGATACAGGTACATGTATACAATTATTACTGATATAGATTGATACAGGTATTACTAACATACATCGATACAGGTATTACTGATATAGATTGATTCAGGTATTACTAATCAATATAGATTGATAAAGGTATTACTGACATACATCAATACAGGTATTACTGATATAGATTGATACAGGTATTACTGACATACATCGATACAGGTATTACTGATATAGATTGATTCAGGTATTACTGATCAATATAGATTGATTCAGGTATTACTGATCAATATAGATTGATACAGGTACATGTATACAGGTATTACTGATATAGATTGATACAGGTATTACTGACATACATCAATACAGGTATTACTGATATAGATTGATTCAGGTATTACTGATCAATATAGATTGATACAGGTACATGTATACAATTATTACTGATATAGATTGATACAGGTATTACTAACATACATCGATACAGGTATTACTGATATAGATTGATTCAGGTATTACTAATCAATATAGATTGATAAAGGTACATGTATACAGGTATTACTGATATAGATTGATTCAGATATTACTGATGTAGATTGATACAGGTATTACTGATTAATATAGATTGATTCAGGTACATGTATAAAGGTATTACTGATATAGATTTATACAGGTATTACTGACATACATCGATACAGGTATTACTGATATAGATTGATTCAGATATTACTGATATAGATTGATACAGGTATTACTGATCAATATAGATTGATGCAGGTACATTTATACAGATATTACTGATATAGATTGATTCAGGTATTACTGATATAGATTGATTCAGGTATTACTGATCAATATAGATTGATACAGGTACATGTATACAGGTATTACTGATATAGATTGATTCAGGTATTACTGATATAGATTGATTCAGATATTACTGATTAATATAGATTGATACAGGTACAAGTATACAGGTATTACTGATATAGATTGATTCAGGTATTACTGATATAGATTGATTCAGATATTACTGATTAATATAGATTGATACAGGTACATGTATACAGGTATTACTGATATAGATTGATTCAGGTGTTACTGATATAGATTGATTCAGATATAACTGATCAATATAGATTGATTCAGATATTAATGATTAATATAGATTGATTCAGGTACATGTATAAAGGTATTACTGATATAGATTGATTCAGGTATTACTGATCAATATAGATTGATACAGGTATTATTGATCAATATAGATTGATACAGGTACATGTATACAGGTATTACTGATATAGATTTATACAGGTATTACTATTAACAGATATTAATACTAATATACAATATTTTATGTGACAATTTATTTTATTTGTGAAAAAAGGACAAATTTTTGGTCAGGTTTAGCTTTGGAGCATACTAATTGTATTAAAGATATGATAAAATAGAACAAAACCTAGTATCATATGAAAAGAAACAGTGGCAAAACAATGGTAGACCCAATCTAATTGTTAGTAGTTAATCACCATGACTTCTCTGTGGGTAGAGTCCCTTGTGGGTTTTAGAGCTATTCATCTAAATAATTGACCCATTATATTATAAGAAATCTGTAGGCCTTTACAGTGATAATGAACGAAATAGGTATAATTTTATCAAAAAAAAAAAAAAAAAAAAAAATTTTGGTATAGTTTGTAAAAGAATCTTTTTGATTTATTTTTCTCTACCTTTCATAATAAATAGTGCCTCAAAGTTGACCTTTAATGATAAATTGTTAGATAAAGATGTTATATAGTGGAAGATGGCAATGATTATGATATATATAAGATATAGTACTGCTATGATTTATTATGAAAGATTGATTCCAGTACACAAGCTATCTATACTGCTTGTCTACTTCCTATAAACATTCTGATAAATGAGATAAAAAGTTGATATCTTATAAAAAAAAATCCTAAGTCACTATATAAGAATATTGGGTTTATTTTTTAAATATAATTTATGAATGCATTATATCTTCTATCTTCTTTTAACCATAAAATTAGGAATTTCGCTTCAAATTAATGTTTTAATAGTTAATGGTTATTTACACTGGATTTGAAGATTCTTGGAACCATTTGAATTGAGTAAAATTCTATGAAGTTGCAAATGTTTCTGTTTGGCATTCCAATGTATAATTTGTGTGTAAAATGATTTCTCAAATTAGTTTATTTTTTTCACAATTGCTTATTGATTTATAAATTAGCTTACATTGATCATAGTTCAGACTAAATGAATAGAGAAATGAGATCTGTAGTTTGTGTTATTTGCACTATTGAAGACTTTCATTACATTTAATCTGAGAAATGTGAATATTATATCATTGGTAAATGAATCAGTCCCCTGATGATAATCTGCCCCATTCATACTCATGGATTCTCTTGCAACTGCTTGGATGAAGAGACATTTAAGGGAGAGTTTTGGCATTGCCGGAGGTTGATTTGAAGTTGGTATTTTGAACCTTGAAACCTTAAATAGCTTCCAAAAATATCTAAAACAACAAATTCAACTTTTTATTTCTTTTCTCCTGTCTGAAATTTTGGTTATCCGAAATTTGATGTCTTGTTGATATTGCCTCTGATGCCAAGATATCTTCCATTGCAGCTGTGCGTAGACAAAGTGGGACAGGATGATTGAGTCTTGACATCATTAACAGATATTCAAAGTATGAATTAATTAATAAATATATTAAGCAAATGACTTCATGAAAGGAACCAACACTCTAAGTGACTGTGCTATAGAACCTGATAAAAATAGGTTTTGTGACAACTACTGGGATTTAGAGCATAATTAATGAATTATAATATTAAATTATATCAATAAATGATAATTTGTGTGCAGACTAGTTGGCCAGGACTGTTATTTTGATTGCATAATCAACTGCATATTAATGCTGAAAATAGAAAGAAGACTTATTTTGAAATAAAGGCCACACAATAATACAGTATGACATCTGAAATTATTTTTATGATCCAACAGAACGGTCAAATCCTTCAGCAATTAGGACCATGATTCAGTGTCATCTTAACTTGTTGACTACAACTATGAATTTTAAAGTATATTTCATCTATAACTAGGCCATGTTTCAGCTAAAAGATGTTGCTAAATATGTCAGATATGTCCTAGTAAGCTGACGTCAGAAAATATAGAATACAGCCGGTTTCAAGGACAAATAAATAATAAACAACCTTGATAAAAATAAAAGATTGTTGATGACAGTTCTCTAGGGTATATAACTAATGCCTTACAGATACATTAGACCTCCACATTATTTTACTGTTATATACCTTCTAGTTGTTATCAGCACATTATGATGTCATTAATATTACTCCATTATTGATCAAGTGTTCAAACAAAATGTCTTCTGTATCACTGTCTTTCATTCCACCGGCATTTGGTGAATTCAGCCATTTCTCTCTTTCTTAGCCTTTTATCCCCCTTTGTAAACTCAGTAGCTCAGGACAATTGATGTAAAGATAAATTAACACCTGCAATGTGCTCGCAGATTGAAACTGCTTTGGGTCAAGATCAAATTTTATCTGGAAATTTGAAAACAAGTAATTGATGTCAACTGAAATTTTACTACTAAGACAGCAGGAACAATTTTGTTTGGACAATATTTATCCACGAATATGTAATTTCTCTTACTTGTATTACCAGTCAGGAAGTATGATGAATGGGGGTGTGGTTTGGACACCATGTTGCACAGATTGACTTAATCCAGTGATTTATCAGAATGTCCAAGATGCTGTCGGTTGATCTCCATTTGATTCTGCCAGTCCCAAGGTTGATCAGTCTTTTCTTCAGAAAGGACTGCTAACTAAAAAATTGTCACTTTGAATATTATATTATATTCTGTTTATCCTGTTGATTTAGTAAGTATTGGTTACAATATAAAAGTAAAGAGTGTAATGAAACACTATAAATATAGAAACAATTGAGAATGTATTGTATAACATGTTATATATATCTTACAGATTGTGGGCTGATGTATTTCGAGTACATGGGGATGGTGAATACATGAGATGGCAACGTGTTTCTGATGATGTGGTTCCAATCAACATCTCCTGTATTGAAGATACGCCTAGCACTGTTTTTCAGATTACAGCTTACAACCGACACGTGGAAAAGATTTTTGATGTAAAGATCACTCAACCAGGTAAATATAGAATTTTTCTCCCCACCCCTATCGTTTTACATAATATATATGTTAATTTATTATTATATAATAACATCAGGTTTAAATTACCTTTAACATTTATATATCTTATTTACTGGCAGTCCTAATTCAATCTCCTTGTCTGTGCTTTTGTAATTTCAATTTTATATTGTTTTTACAACCACTTTCACCTAAAGTTAAACATAAAAAAGGTAGTCCTAAAGGTAGTCCTACTGCACAAAACAGAGAAAAAAGTATTTAAAAGCAATGTCTATTTTAATGACAGATTTGTATAGCTTGTATTTAGCACTTTTTATGGAATTGCACTGTATAATACATCAAAAACCCAGTAAATACTTTCTGTCTCTGATAAAAGGGTATGCACCCTAATAATCAAATTGATTTTAGTATGTCATCATCAAGGATCTGACTTAAATAAGCTTTACCCCAAGGAACAGGATTCTCTGTTTAAACTGAATTGGAATCATGAAGATTTTCAGGCTTTAATTTTGATAAAGACGGTCTTCAACTCACTGTAAATTGGCATTCAGACATTTTTTTTAAAGGACTTAACTTGAAATTGTGATAAAGCCATTAAGTGTTCAGACACTGGCCCACATGATAATTCAATGATAGAATTTATATAACCTTCATATTGACATCATTATCATACTAGACTGTTTGATCCTGTCTTGTTATGAAACAGATATAAATACTGTTATGTTTTATGTATAAATACACATAATGTATGCTGATAACAATTTTAGAATTTTATTTCTTTTCACTAGTATAATTTTGTGAAATATCCCAAAATAGATTATCATTTAAACATTTTCTTTCAAATTTACTTTTCGAAACTAAACTTGTACTTCAATGATAGTTACCACTTGTTAAATTACGATCTTTATCTTCAATGAAAAGGCTAAATAGCTAATATTGTGTGATTTGCTATCAGAAAGACCATCTAGTTCACTGTGACCTGACATAGACTGAATAATGGAAGCAATTTCCCTTCTTACTTCCACATTAGTAGAGAGACATCTATAGATTTCTTTCTATCTGCTGGCTTGGTATTTGGCCGTCTGTTGTTGAACACGGGTATTATAGAAATCAGTTTAATACTGGTGTCACATGAAACTAATAAAGACTTGAATCACTTCTACTTTATTATATTTCTATTGGATTTTTATGGTCACAGTTCTGCTTCAATTTCATCATACTTTCTCAAATTGAGTCTAGTAACAAGGTTTAACAATCAGTCAGTAGCGTGTTTACTCCAAATTTTACATATCGAAAGAAACACCTGTAAACCCTAACCCGCCACCCCTCTCCTTGACAATTCTGTTGCTCCTATTCTCCTACTAACACTGAGTCAGTGGAAACTTCAGTTTAAATCACGCGATAAAGTGCAAACAGTAGCTAAAAAGTGATACAATTAGAGTAAATGTGTGTCTACGTTTTGGGACTAATCCCTTTAGCAAGGAAAAAAAACCAAAAATCAAATATAGACGAGAAAGGTGCTATCTCTACGAAGAACAAAACTAATCTGACAAAAAATGGCACATTCAGCTTATAAGATGAACAAAAGAAGATAATAAACTAAAAAGATATAGGTCATGGAAACATAAAAGAATAACAAGAAAATGAGATAAAATTTAAAGAATTAAAAATTTAGACAGAAACTAGAAAGGGTACATGAGAGCCATAGATAAGGTAATGATGACGAAGGTCAAAACGGTAAATAAAATTGAAAATTTTTAGCATTTACAAGCTAGATATAAGAAAAAGAATGCAATATAATTATAAATGACGTGGGCTATAGAGTGACCAGGTAAGTTAAAGTAAGCTGCAACAGGAATAATGTTATCTTGTTGGATACTTGTTGGAGTGATAACAAACATTCACACCAAGTTTAGTCAAAATCCATCTAGAATTGTGCCTTCTAGAGTGTTTGCGGGCTAAAAATTTAACAGGTTTTCAAGAACAATGGCAATAACTCATACTAAATATTTCGCGATTTTTCTGATTTTTAATAAGGTTCATTCTTGGGTTAGCTCTTGGATCAAGTTGTTTATTCAAAAAGTAGAAATAGCCGGAAGACCTGTCCTTGTGGGGAAAAGAGATATATAGAGATACGAAGTCCATAGTGAGTAGGAATTTATTAAAGAGGTAGTTTGAAATGTGAAATCATTGAGGAGAATGTCAATGAGGAGATGAAGGGTATGATTAGTGTCTTTGATATAAGAAGGTAGAGAAATGTTAATCGGTTGGAAGATGGAATCAAGAAAGCTGAATATGAGAACAGTCGGACAAGAACAGACTGAAACAATTGGGCGACCAGGGTTGTTAGACTCATGAATTTTAGGGAGGAGGTAAAACTCCAAAGGAGACGATTCATCTGGAATGAAGAACAGGGCAGAATGGGGAAGAATTCATAGCTGTAGTCTCTTAATGGTAGATTTGAATAGAAGAAGGCTTATACAACTCAATATTTGCAAGTTATTGAGTGGCTTCTTGGAGATAAAAATTCTTACGCCAAATGACGATCGCTCCTCCCTTATCATCGCGCTTAATGAGTGTAAACAGTCATGTTCGTTCATCTTTAAATTTATGGTATTCTTTACGACATTGTAAAATATATTGATCTAGTGTAGGGAACTTTCCAGGTTTAGGAATTGTGGAGAATCAGTTAATTGTGGAGAGGCTACAGCAGGTGAATAAAGCGGAGAAAGGAATTTTATCAACTTTTTACCTACTGTTTGCATGCTATGTGATATATATTTACTGATGATAATATTATGAATTCATATTAAAGGGGTATTCCGCTTTTTAGTAAAAGTTATAGTAAAAGTTATAGTTGAAAGCTTTAAAATTGTTTTTTCTGGCCCACCTGATTTATTTTAGATGTAATGGAGTTATTATGTCAACTCTCCATTGATAATAATTTCACTTTGAGACTATAAGCAGGTTGGGAGAGTTATAATATACTAATCAATAAGGATCAACTATAGAGAGAAAAAAACACTCCATATTGTAGACTAGGATTAATAATAAACATAAATTTTAATAAAAGTAGAACTAGACTATACTTGTCATACTCATATATCATGATTTGATTTGAATTCTGTCTTGTTTCAGGAACAATAATATGTCCAGCAACTGAAAGCTTTGTTCATTGGCGTGATCCTATCAATCAATGTGAATGGGGCCTTAATTTCTCCACGGCTACAGATGCTCATCGTTTCCGAGACTGTTGTGCGGTAATTAATCTTATTTTATTTCTCACATACTCAAGGTTTAATTTTTATCAACTGTGTGTCTGCTATCAAACAATAATCTAATATTACTGTATACCAGAACCAATCATGCATCGATATTTTAAAAGTAGAATTATGTTTTGATAAGTTGCTTACTAACTTGATTATTGAAATATGTTGCCTAGGTGATATGAATATTTGATAATAATGATCATAAAGAGAGTTATGTCCGAGAAATTAGCTGTTATTGACAGACCTAGTTTACTTATCAATAGATACGAATAAATTTAATATTGGACTAAATTAGGATAACAACTATAGTCCATAATGTGATAATTCATTAGTCGACTTTTCTTCACGTGTCCAATTCTTACACCTTGTGTTTATTGGAAGCGTTAAATTTCATTTTACACTTCTGCTCTCTCAGAATATTAGTCTAATTCTCATCATTTATTGATATCCTTGAAATTATTTTCTGGAGTTCTTTTTAAAAAATTGACAGAGATTGACTTCCATGCATGATTCTTGTTTGACCACTTTATTTTTATACGCCCACATTATAATGTGGACGTATATTGCCGTCGGTCCGTCCACATTTCTTGAAGACGCGATAGAGGCTACAGTTTTTAAACAATCTTGATGAAACTTGTTATGCATGTATATATTCACGAGACTTCGGTCAAGTTCGAAATTGGTAATACTCAGATGAACGGTTTCAGAGTTATTGCCCTTGACTTAGTAAAATTTGGCTTGTAGTCACGATAGAGACTACAGGTTTTATCTGATCTTGATGAAACTTGGTATGCATATATATATTGACGGGATCTTAGTCAAGTTCAAAATTGGTATTATCGGATGAATCGTTTCAGAGTTATTGCCCTTGAATTTGGTAATAATCGGATGTACAGTTTCAGAGTTGTTGTCCTTGTGTGTACAGCGATGAGACATTGTTTGAATTTGATGAACTGTTTCAGGTTTTTGCCTTGACTCATAGATGATTTTAAGATTTCTTGAAAATTCATTATAAAGCCACTAAGGATTTTGCTATCATTTCTGACAGCTGGTGGTGGGCGTATATTACCATGCCTGGCAAGCTATCTTCTAGAAGTATCATAGGTTTATGTGTATCCCTATTATTGAATTTTAGGTCTAAAAATGTTTCCTAATTTCGGTGTGTGCTGTTGGGTAAATAACTCCTAATTTGGGCATGATTTGAATGTAATGTAGGACAGTGGGCAATGAGATATAATGTTTTATATATGCCAATGCTGATGTGAATTTTTGATTCCGTATAAAGAGCACAGTGTGTATTCTCTATATTTTTAGCCAATGGAGAATGAACTTTTTATACATGTATTTTTTTTTTTTGATTTTGAAACAGTTTCCTAGTCAAAGGTTTGCACGGAAAGCATCTTCAACCAGTTCGCTTCGACTGTCACCACCAAAGGTTAGATGTGTTAGCTAACTGAAAAATACAACTGCTTATGTCTTATATTACCATTGCTTCATTTGTTTGTAGCACTTTATTTTTGTGTTTGGTTAATGTATGTGCTTGTATATTCAGTTCCTTAGTTTTTTTAATCTTGTTCAACCTTGCCTTACCTCTGATAGATTTGATGAGCCAGCTTAGAATCCGCATCAAAATCAAACATTTTTTACAGTAATATTTAAGTGATTATGGATAAGAATGTTCAAATGAAAAAGAATTTGAATTTATTCTCTTACACAATGCATATAGTGTTCAACTATAAGTTTAAACTGCAATTTTTCCCACCTTTCCTACTATGTTGATGCGTGGGGCATCATTGTTGGTTCAGACATTCCCTTATAGCTGCTAACCATTCAAACATCAGAGTTGAGTCAAGGATAGCAATTTTGTTTTGTAGCTTTTAGAGGAATACTAACTCTTAATATCTAAAATTTGGCCAAAATGAGTGTCAAACCTATACATCAGAATCCCTGCATAATCCTATAAATCAATGAAACTTAATAATTGTTTAAAAAACTACAAGTACTTATTGAAATACAATTAATATTTTAAGCGTTTTTCAATAATTATTTAGTTAAATGGATTTATCGTCATAATCATTGATCCTGTTGTCTAATTATGACACCAGGTATGTCCATTGTACTCTTATTGACCAAGTTTGAATTTTATCTTCATATTAAGAGGTACTATTCTTTTAATATACATATAGTTATCTTCATTTCAGTATGTGAATTCATGCTTTTGTTTTGTATCTGAACCTCGTACTATGGGCATCTATAAAACTCTGTAATACACCATCAAGACAATGTCCAAATTGAACACAACATCCTATTCCTATTCTATCAAAGATAATACATTTTGACTGCCTTTTAAGAGATTCATATGTTACTGGTATACCAAGGTCTGAAATTGAATTTTCAAATAAGTTTTTCATTCATATGACATCCACCATTGATACAAAAAATCAATTTTGGGTTAAAAACAAAATGTCAACTTTTGTCTTTCAATGAAATTCATATTCATTTGACATCTGCTGGAGTATTACTGGGTGTCAGAATATTTATTTATTTATGTAAATCAAGAAAAATATCAAAAACTGAATGACTGTTGTGTTATTATTCTGTAATAATGTTTTATTCAGTATGATAATTGGATAATATTCCTCATGAATATGAACATAAGTGTTGTTTACATTTGAATAAGTATTAGATATTGACTCACATGTGCTGTACTGAAATATCAAAATGCTACTAACAAATTCTATTGAAATAGAGCCAAGAGTCCATGAGCACTAGAGCATGCCATTTCTACAGAATAAATCAATAGTGTAGCCAACAGAAATAGTAAAACTGTAACAAGAGAAAGACATATTTATTGTTAAATCAATAATCAGGTCCTCTCTATGATATTTTCATGATAAAAAATTTGAATAATGCAAATGATTTCATTATATCATACAGAAACATTTAAGTTCATTACTGCAGAAATGAAAATCTTGAAGACTCATATAAGGGATGCAACTCTTAATAAGATGGGATTTTGAAATATTTAGACCACATTTAATGGCATGGAGGTGATGTGCGGAGAAAAAAAGAGGCTACACATACTAACAAAGTTTAATTCAGGTTGTTATAGTCAATAATTGCTTGTTGTTATTATTTGACTGAACTAACACAATGTCTACATAATTACAGGTTTAAACTTTTTTAAAAATTGTAAATGTTATAAAATAGCTTTTAATTTTTAAGCTTTATGTAGGCGATGTACCATCTCTACACTAGTGAAGTATTGGACTACATAAATATATTCTATTTTCAGAGGGTCAAGAGTAAAAGTGCATCAGCATCTTCACCAAGTTCCCCATTGAATCAGCAGAGACCGTTTTCAGCTGATCATTTAAGTGAAAACTGTGATCATTTGGACCATGCTACAGCAGGCTGTAACACTACAGAGAGAAACATTCCAACTTTCACTCCTTTTCCACCAGATGACACTTGTGATAAAGGTGGTTTCCGTTATTCAGCAATAATCAAACCCCCCTCTAATGCCTCAATATATGATAATGAAAGCGGACATGTGTTTAATAAAGACTTCAAAAATGAAGGTCACAGGCAATCAATGCCATCTTCTTTTTCATCCCCATCACATTCGTTACAAGACAGACCTGCGTCTGCTGTTTCCAACATGACCTACAGTAAAGACAGTAGTATTGGTGGTGGAAGTTCAGCTGATATTTACAGTAAAATTCTTGTGGAAAATAAGTTTCCTGTAGAAAATGAATATAAGCTTAAACAAGAGAGTGGTAGTCACATAGAAACTACAATAAATGGGGCTGCATCACCATTACTGAGACCAGTATCTAGGTTAACTGTTGATACTAGTTTATCTGTAGGTTGTACATCACGGCATACTTCTTCATCAGAATCACCAGAATGGCCATCTCCACCAGAACCCTTAACCCCAATAACACCACTTAATCCTGAATATGATATACAGTTTGATAGTGTTACAATCCAGAAAATGCTTCGTTCCTTGCCATCATCACCTGTTGATAAAGAAAAAGATATGGGTTTTCATGATGAAGGTGAGAATGAAGTAGGATATAATGGTAGTAGAAGAAGAAGTAGTGGATTATCTAGAACTAAAAGCCTTAATGTACATGATAGAAATAATCGCCCTGCTGTACCTATAAGACATCGAACAACTCAAATAAATCATCCACAGCCATCACCGTACATTTCAACACAAGTTCTAACAAATTCAGCAAAATCTAAATTATTGAGTAAAGTTTTAATTGAACAGGAATTACATTTACGAAATCAAGTTGCTCAACATAGTTATCCTGACAGTGGAATAGGTGGTATGACTTGTAATACGTCTGGTTCATTATTATCAGAAGACAGTGGGAAATCTGAAGCTTCCAAAGTTGGTAAGTTGAATCTTAATTTTATTAGCCTGATTGGCGATGCCAATTTCATTTCATTCTGTCAGAATTGCAGTTTTCACTGTAATAATCAGAAGACTTTTCTTCTTTTAGACTTCCAATTTGTAGACTTCCAAATATTGATAAGACCCTTTTCATTATATAAGAATGCATTGTATAACTGAGAATTACTATTTAGATTTTTCTAAAGAGCTTTCTCTCAACCAATCCACTCACAACATAATATTCAAAAAAAAATCTGAGATAAATCTTATTTCTATCTTCTGTTTAAATATTTCCTCTTTATGAAACTATAAAAAATATTGTAAGAAAAAATCACTCAGAGGATATCAATAATAACCTTCTTGTGAAATATTTCCTTCCGTGAGACAGACTTGTACTTTATGACTTGATTTCCTCTTATTTCATTCTACTTTTTTAAATTACTCATTTCAATTGGCTGTTGTTATATCTGCTGATCAGCCATGCATGTAAATATTTCTTTATGAATTAAGTTGTATCAGATTTTCTACAGTTTTAATTCAAATTTTGTACAAAATGAAATTTATAAGATATATAGCTTGTATCAGTAAGTAATTATTAATTATTATGATAAGGTAGCCTGAACCAGGATTTTGATTGTATGCCTACTTTCAAATTACAACTTTTTTT